AAATGCTCACATAGAAGAACGTATGTGACATGCATGGCTATTTGTCAGAGGTATTTTAAGTCATACGATATTAAAATTGTGTAGTGAGGAACATAGGCTGGGATAGTTAAACTGTATTGAAAAGCAAGGAAGTAGTTAATGTTAAAGCCAGAATAATTTCATCTGTTCTGGAAATAATAGAAATATAGAACTCTTTGGGAGGCAGGAAAAGTAGCTGGGATACAAAGGGCTTCTTCTTGATCTTTGTGATAGCTACTTGGGTCTTTAAAAAAATGTTTTGTCCATTTGATACATACAACATCACAACAAGAACTCAAATAACAATAATTCTGTGATTAAAATTGATAATTACAATTGTTAATGCATGAGATAAGTTTTGATGACCATAACACAAACTACAAATCTACTGTATTTAGAAGACAGCAGCCTTGTAAAGGTGAAGAATCTGAACAACAGAGAGATGAATAAATCCCCAAGCCACACACACCAGAAGCTGGTTTGCTTTAAAGTCAATGCAGCTCTTTCCTCAACAGTGTGATGTGCTCCTTTCCAGCACTGGAGAAAAAGGAGATAGCCCCTAAGCTGAGCCTCTAGTTCTCCTTGGCAAAATTATTGGTCACTATGATAAGTAAACTAAGTCTGAAATATTGGTCTTTCATGAACCAAAGTATTAAATCTTTAATATAACACTCTAGCCTTGTTTCATTTGAAGCCCTGCTAAGGATGGATGATAAATCACACGAAGTCGACATATTTACTATTCTAATTTATAATCGAGTAATGCCATAAATTACACTGTTCCTGCTGCTAACATACAAGTTAATGTATACAAGAGACTCATCACTCACATAAGGAATCTTTCTCCCTAAAGGTCAGAAGATTTTTCTCCCTACCCAAGGACCTGTTTAAAGAAGGGATAAAGTCTGGAAAATAGGCATCAGACTATTGGCAATTTGCCTTGCTGCCCAATCAACCTGGAAACATCAATTATTCCTAGAACACTAGTAGCAGAGAAGCCAACTGCAGGCCCAGGAGCTTAACTCAAGGGACTCCCAAGTTGACTGTGCTATTTTTATACTTGATAACCGTGGCAAGTTGTTTAACTACTGTTTGTCTCGGTATCCTTTTGTGCAGAACAGCGAGGGAGGTCAGAAGCATTTAAAACAAGCCTGGTACTTAGCAAGTCCCAACTCCTCTCTAAATGTATTTTCTTCCACATTTCACCTAGCCCATCGTCCCTCTCCATTTCCATTGGAATGACCATGGGTCCTGCCATCATGTTTTAATTCTTAGGATGTTGTAGTTCCTGATAATAGATCCTCTTGTCTATCAGTGCCACAGTCACAATCCATTCTGAGCCCTATGTCAGAATTTTATTCAAAGGAAGAAAGAATTTTGTTTACCAGATTAGCACTCAGAAAATATTCTCCCTCCTCTCCTTTTAATTGCCTATCACTTAAGTTTTAATATCTTGTATGGTTACTAGTAGTTTCTAAGTGTGGCTTGAGCCTGGGTTCCAAACTTACCTATCTTTGCTTTACTTGACAAACTCACTCTGTTAACCACCTAACATGTCATGAGTTGACTATGGTGATGGCCGCTTCACTTCTGAACTTTCCTAGGCCATTTCTTTGACTATCCTGATATCATTTTCTATCTCCATCCAGATCTAGCCCAAATGCAAATGACAACAAATCTTGGACCAAAAGCTCAGCATTAGATCTGCTTGCTCAGACCTCCTCAATCTTGCTTTAATTTTTCATATTCATGACTTCACTATTCCTTCATAATTTGACATGGAATTTTAAATTTGATTGGTTTATACCATTGCCATTCTATAACTGTTACTGAGCACAAACTGTTTCTTCAATCTGACAACCAAATTTACTTGAGAATGGTTCTTCTTTCTCCATCCTGCTTGCACCACTGCTTATTGTCTCATTTAGAAGCATCCAATAAGTATTAAATGAATTAAATAAAATGTAATCACTAAGCAAAATCCTTAGATTTGCTTTCCAGAAACCAAATCAGGAAAATAAAAGTAGAAGACTCTATAAGTCTTTCAGTCTCAAACCAACAGCACAGAGAGAGTGGATCCTCTGCCCAAGGGCCTGGAGAGATGGCTCAGCTGTTAAGAGCATGAGCTGTCCTCCAGAGGACTTGAATTCAATTCCCAGACCCCAAATGGCATCTCACAACCATCTGTAACTCTAATTCCAGGAATTCTTCTGCCCTCTTCTTTCTTTCAGGGGCACTAGGCATGTACATAGAGCACAACCAAAACATGCACAAACATAAACATAATAAAATGATAATTTGAATGTCTTAAAAGTTTGTTGGTTGAGGCAAATGAACATCAAAACATAAAGGGAAAGTAGGATATTCCATTTTCAGAACAATAATCTTTTAAATACTAATACATTTTTAAAACGCCCCCAATAAGCACTGCCGATGTTTGTTTTAAGAACAGAAGCGTAAAATAATTGGGACCAGTAATAGCTAAATTTGATCTGCCAAAGAGAAAGTGTCAGTATGGTCCTCTGGCCTTAAGATGGTGCTGAGAACACTACACAGCTGAAGGTGATGAAATGAGAGGAAGATGAGTCAATGAAAAACCTTGTTCTAAACTCCTCTACATGACATGAAGAGGAAAAGGGACTGCACGCAAAAGATGTGGTCGGTCATTTCAACTTCCAAACGTGTACTAGAAAAATGAGATATGGCCTCTGGCCTTGGAAAAGAAGCTTTTTACATGCAAAGTTTTCTTTAATGATACAGTATATTTTTCAAGGGGATTAGTGTCAGATTGCAAATAGCCCTATCGGCATTTAATATTTGACAATTGCTATTTATTTTAGTTGAAATCAAATCATAAAATATGCATTACTGAAGACCTCTTATATATTGTGAGGTTTGGGAATAGTGTTTTCCATGCAAAGAAGCTGACCTTGGATCAACCGTAGAATCTTAGCATTTAACTTTTAGGCTAACAGCATAAAGAAGCATTAGAAGTACAGAAGCCTCAAGCTTCATTCCCATAAAGAAAGATGCAAACTTTCTATTGTACATTTTCCTAAAGTGAAAATAAACATAGCAGATCAGAATCATGATGTTATTAATTGTGAGGTTATCCGTGTTGTTGAACGTAAAATGTATATAATAGGCGCTTAATGAATGATTAACTGTGTTGTTGAATGTAAAATGCATACAATAGATGCTTAATGAATGTTCTCTTGCCCATAACCCTGCAATCTCCATAGATTTGTCACAAAGCCCTGGATGACTATTGCCCAAAAATATTGGCAATCTGAAATTTCAATTATTTCTTTTCGTTTTTATAAATTTTCTCTGTCTTCCTCAAGATAAGAATCATAGCTCTATTAGTACATCCAAATTGTCATCTTTTCTCTCCAAAAAAGCTCACAAACAAATTTTCCAGCCTAGGTATGTAGTAACTACTTAGTTTTACACACACACAACACACACACACACACACACACAGTACACGCCTATTGATTAAGTGTTTTGTTTTCTACCAAAAGCTATAATGAATATTATGCTGTTTATGAAAAAAGACAGAAATTCCGTTTTTTTATCATTTCAAAGAACAGTGCTCACTGAATACCCATATTGTATGCTTCTATGAACTGATTATCAATTATGATGCTTAATTAACAAAAACACTTGAATATTCTAAATAATTGAATAACTACTAGCACTTATTCAACATCTATGTATCTACAGCATATATTAGTTCAACATGAATGAAACAGTCATTACTCTCATACCAATTCTAAAATTACATGATGGAATTTGTCCATTGTCTAATAACTAGTAAATGAGAAGTCCAGGACTTCCAGGTGTTTTGAATCCACAGTCTGTATTCTTAAGTACCTATTAAGGATATCTCATTATTGACTGAGTTATATTAGGAAAAAATGCATAAATATCAGTTCTGCCACTATTGTATTCCTATTTCTTTTTCTTGGAAATCCTATTCAAAAGCTGTCCCCCAGGTAATCCTCTTTAACCAAACAAGACAGTTGAGTGGTGCCTTGGTCCCTGTGATCTCTACTGTACATAACAACGTTCAATTGTGGAGAGTGTCTTGTAATATTTATTTTGTTTGTTGAATCTTACTCGTGTTAGGCAAGTGCATATATCCCCAGCATGAGTTTTGAGGAGTTTGTTGGTTTGTTTGTTTTAATGAATGAAGACTTGAGAACTTTAGTCATCTGATTTATTTTATCAAATAAAAATTCAAATTTCTTTCATGAATTTACATTTTTATTCATTTCCTGTTAACTGAAAACTGTGTAATTTGGGAATGAAGTGCCGCTTGAAATAAATAAAAGAAGCCAATGACATCATAAATAACACCAACAATGTAATCAACAAACAACAGTACAAACCTGCTCAACACTCTAAAGATAATGTTTACACAAAACCAAAATACCAAAGAAGCAATCAGCACATGAGGAAGCCTAGATTTCCCACTCTGAAGAAATATTGAGCAAATCATGAAAGCTCTGAAGTTCCCAGTTTTCTTATTTAAAGATAGGAATGAAAATAAGATCTTAAAATGTGGGGGAAGGACTAATGGTAATGTTTACATATAAAGTACCTAATGTGGAAAAAACTCAATATATATTAATCTGATGATGTGCTTTTTAAAAAAATCCATATAGGCCCCTGGATAATATCACTAAACTTTCATTCTTTTTGTCCATCAAGATATGAATAAAATCTCACTGAAATCATAAAAAAAGAGTGTTGTAGGTAAATAACTATAACAGCAGTAAAATCAGTATTTAGAAAACTGGAAATTGTATAACTTAATTCAAACTTATGAACACCTCATTTCCTAGCTTATACACATTTTCTCTCTGCAATCAGGAGTGTCAAGAACTGTAAATAAGAATGTGTTCTTTTATGATTGTCTGCCAAAAACATTCAGTATAACTACAAGAGAGTGAAAAACAAAATTACAGATCACTTACTGTATATGGTGCTTGGCTATTTCAAGATAATTTGAAAACATTCATCTTCAAAATACTCCTACAAAACGCATCTGTGAAGGAGAAAAATCCAAAATGTAAGAAATTTGACAATGTCACAGAAAAAAATGATGAAGGTCTACAGTCACTATATACTTTCATATTATGAAATAAATTTATTTCAAAACACATACTATATAACTAGCAAATGCAAACGCTGGTGAACAGAAATATTTCCATCTACGTGTGAATATTTTAAATAATGTCAAGGGTACTCATAAGAGACGAGAATACAGCATTCAAACTCCAGAATAAACTTTAAGTACACACTTTCCACAAAATATTGATAAAATCACATCAAAGCAACTCTGAACTATAGTATACTTATAAGTAAATTTATGTAGAGATTTAAGGTGATTACTCAAATCACACAAAATTTTTAAGAAAAAAATTTAAATGCACCTTTGTCTAAATATGAAGATCACTGAGTTGGAAGAGAATTCTGCTTGAATTATTGAAAGAATTGCACCAACTCACTTTGTAATTGCATTTCAATTCTAATTGAGAGTAATGTACTGAGAAAAATACTGCTTGTACACCTCACAAAAACACACTCACAGATGGCTTCTGCTTTCCGCAATGTCAACGTGAGTAGAAGATGAAAGTTATTTAATCAGGCTTTATTAATTAATTTGTTTTAAAGGAATAATATTAAAAAGGCACATTAACTTTGAAGCCAAAATTATTTCTATTTAAGTGACTTTGATGATACTAAGTATACTGTATATTAAAGAAACAGACCACCAACTAATGAAAATTATATCAAGCCCTCTAAAGTACATTATTTCAGAAAGACCAGGTACATTGTAGTTACAAACTCCCTGAATAGCAAGCTTCTTTAGAGGAATGTCAGTTTCAAAGAGCAGTGGAATTTCTGAAATTTAGAACAAGTGTCATAAGCTGAGGTCTCATCTCATTTATCTTCCTAGAGCACAGAAAAGAGACTAGGATCGGACTTGTCTCTACCTGGCCCATGAACAGATGATTTTGCTTCCCTTAACACATAGATTCTGCCAGAGAGAAAAGAGCTAGATAAAGTTATCAGGATTGGAGCTAAATCAAAAGAGTAAACCTAGAAAGAGTTAAGAAACTAGGTTATTTCTGTGAATTTCACTTTTCTGAGTTCTTAGAACTTAGAATAGATAAATTGGTCTTCACATACAATTTCAATAAAATAATTAAGCTATAATAATAAGCATATTGCTATACTCATGTGCCTCTTAAGCAAATGCATGTTACAGAAGACTGAGCTGAGCACAAATCATCTGGTTTCTCAATTGGACAGGGCTAGTAGGAGGTGATCACTGCCTCACAGCCAGCCTTCTAGTGGAAGTTTCACCTCCCAACACCTTGGGCCATGTGAAGCTTGGGATGGCTATGTATGGAGCCCAACACAAAATCATAAATGCACTTAAAATATTATGAGGGGGTTTTTGGTGTATTTTTATTTTCTGAATCAATTCCATCATTCCCCAGCAAGAACTTTACAGGTGATCACATTAAAACTCAGTTATGTGGTCTTCTAGCATAAGCATTATAAATGATAACAACATAATTTCACAATGGCAAAAGGCTGGCCATGTCTGTGATAGGTTGTAAATTGGGAGTATAATCAAATTTGGGTGATGACATTAACCATACAATTAAAAACACAAGCATTAAAGTTTGTATGGAGCCACACACAACATGCACAGAAGGAGGAGGAAGAGGAGGAGGAGGAGGAGGAGACCAGATAGCCAAAGGGACAAAGCAGGAGGTGTCATGCTATGTGACTTCAAATATACTACAAGGCTGTAGCAATTAAAATAGTATGGTATTGGCTTAAAAGTCCACACAGACCAACAGAGCAGAATAAAGCGCCTTCAAGTAATAAACTCCTTCATCAACAGCCAGCTGATATCAAATAGCAGAAGGGCAAAACAGGGAAACCACAGTTTGTCTAATAAGCGGTAGGGAGGGAAACTGGACATCATGCACAGAACAAGGAAACTAGACCCCCATCTCCAGGTTATAAATGTCAGCTCAAGATTGATTACAAACTTAAGAGTAAAACTAGAAAGTACAGATGCAAAAAAGAAAGTACAAATGCACTAGAAGAAAGGGTAGAAAAATGGGTCAACACATTGGAAAGAACAAGTATTTCCTAAATAAGAATCAAAGGTACTGACAACAAAAGTGGCAGTAAACAAATGAGGCAGCCTTCAACTTAAAACCCTCTGCAGAGCAAAGGAAAATCATATCAAAGGATCCAACAAAATATCTGCAAAATCCACATTAGGTGAGAAGCTGATATATAGCATATGCAAAGACCTTCAAAACTCAAACTCAAAACAAGGAACTAATAACGCAATTTAAAAATGAATATTAGACTTAAACACACATTTACCAAAAGCCATAAAATACACAGAATTTTAAAAAAGTATTCTATATCAATGGTCAACAGAAAAATGCCTATCAAAATCATGAGATATTATCTCAGTCTGGTATGTCTTTCATCCAAAAAGACTGAAGAAAGGAAGAGCAGGAAGACACATAGAGAAAAGATAACCCTCACACAGCTATCTGGGTGAGGAATGGCAATTAGTATATGCATTATAGAAGACAAAAAAAAAAAAAAAGAAACCTCAAAACACAAACCACCATATCACCCAGCAATCTTATTCCTGTGTAAATACTATCAGTCCGTTGAAAAGTCATCAACTCTCTGTGTTCATTTCAGTCTTATTCACATAGTCACAAAATGGGAAAGGGAAAAAACTAGTTCCACTGCCAGGGGCCCCTTAAGAAGACCAAGCTACATAACTGTTTGTCTTATGCAGAGGGCCTAGTCCTGTCCCATGGAGGCTCCACAGCTGTTGGTCTAAAGTCTGTGAGTTCCCACTAGCGTGGTTTGATTGTCTCTGTAGGTTTCCCCATCATGATCTTGAAGCCCCTAGCTCGCTCATAGAATCCCTCTTCTCTCTCCTTCAACTGGACTCCTTGAGCTCGGCCTGGTGCTTGGCTGTGGAGTTCTGCATCTGCTTCCATCAGTTACTGGATGAAGGTTCTATGATGAAAGTTGGGGTATACCCTGATTATTGGGGTAGGCCAGTTCAGGCACCCTCTCCACTAATGCTAGTAGTCTAAGCTGGGCTCATCCTTGTGGATTCCTGGGAACTTTCCTAGCACCAGGTTTCTATCCCTGGTGCATGAGCTGGCTTTTTGGAGCCCATTACCTATGGTGGGACATCTTGCACAGCCTTGATGCAATGGGGAGGGGCTTGGACCTGCCTCAGCTCAATGTACCAGGCTTTGTTGACTCAACATGGCAGGTCTTACCTTTTCGGAGGAGGGGAGGGAGGGTGGATTGGAGAAGGGAAGCTAGGGGGAGCAGGAGGAGGCATGAGAAGGGGACCTGGTTGGTATGTAAAATTATTTTTAAAATCTTAATAAAGAAAAAAACTAATAATTGTCAACTGAGCTGATAAAGAATATGACAAACAAGCCATAAAGAAAATTAAATCTGTGGTTTTCATTGTTTAAAACAGGAGATCATTATTTTAAGTGAAATAAGACAAGCATAGAAAGGCAAATATATTACTTTTGTATTGGTTTAGGGTCCAGAATATTCATCTCATGAAAGATGGTAGTATAGCAGTAGTTACAAGAAATTTTGGAGAGTAGGGGGAAGACGAAGATAAGGAGAGATTGTTCAAATAGGCACTAAGCTGTACTGGGAGCTAAGGGTCTGATGACTACAGATAATAATGTAGTATAATATACTAATTAATCTAACTTTAAAAAGCAAAAAGAAAGCAATATAAATACTTCACTTTGATAACATAACTGTTTGATATTAATAAGTTTTTCCTGATTTTAGTGTTATATCATAAATATATATGTTAATGCTGCATACCATATATGTATACAATGTTTGTTTTCTGTATCACTAAATAAATTTACTGTAAACTGAAAGATGGTTAACTTTTTTCTGTTGCATATATTTTTAAATAGTAAATGGTTGTGGAACTTTAATGAGAATTGCTCCCATAGGCTCATATAGAGTCGCTTCTTGGTGGACTGTTTAGGAATGATTAGCGATGTGGCCTTGTAAAAGGTTATGTCCCCAGGGGTGGGCTTTCTGGTTCATAAAGCCCACGTCAGGTCCCAATCTCTCTCTCTCTCTCTCTCTCTCTCTCTCTCTCTCTCTCTCTCTCTCTCTCTCTCTCTCTCTCTCTCTCGATGTAGTGGGTATCTGTTCCAGCTTTGATGGGGAAGTACTGCCCTCAATGAGGCTTCTGGTAATTGTCATGCCTACCTATGACCTGCCCCTGTGGCAGGGCCGAGATGGGAGCCCTTAAGACCTGAGATCCAGATGTGCCAGCTCTCTTGGTTCCTGGTGATCCTGGATGCTGGATGGTAGACTGAGTGGAGCTTTCCAGAGAACACTTCTGGACTGCACTTCACCTCTCCTGCATCCTGTAACCTATCCCTTTACTTGTTGTAAGTTACCCCAAAATAAACCTCCCTTTTAACTATGTGGAGTTGCCTTAATAAATCTCCCATTCTCATTCTCTCTCTCTCTCTCTCTCTCTCTCTCTCTCTCTCTCTCTCTCTCTCTCTCTCTCTCTCTCTCTCTCTCTCTCTCTCTCTCTCCTGTCAGCATGCTGCTTGCAGATCAGGATGTAGTTTTCAGCTACTTCTCCAGTACCACACCTGACAACCACCCTGCTCCCCACCATAATGACAATGGACTAATCCTCTGAAGCTAAGTAAGCCTCCAATTAAATGTTTTATTTTATAAGAGTGGCCTTAGTCAAGGTGTCTCTTCACAGCAATAAAACATGGACAGAAACATTATTTTTTTAATGGAAGACTTCTTACATGTGTCTGCACAAGTAATACAAGAACAAGGACTCCGTGAGACTGGGTTCAGAGCACATACAAGACAGCTCCGTTTCTTCTCTTATGTAATACATTTTCTGTACTCACCTAGTCCTTATTTTGCAAACTCTCCTGGAATGCCTTGCCCCTG